ACGTCAGTCGATAAACCTGTATGCTCTTATCTTACGTCAGTCGATAAACCTGTATGCTCTTATCTCACGTCAGTCGATAAACCTGTATGCTCTTATCTCACGTCAGTCGATAAACCTGTATGCTCTTATCTCACGTCAGTCGATAAACCTGTATGCTCTTATCTTACGTCAGTCGATAAACCTGTATGCTCTTATCTTACGTTAACTGCTAAAGCAAATGATATTCCTATTAGTGTAAAGTCTTTCCATATAGCCATCAATTGAACAGTTCTTCATTCTCCTCATCTGCTTCACTAGTCTCTTGGGTCAGTTTTTATTTATAAATATATCATATACCCCACCCTCCAAACACACACACACATATTTTTTCTTCTCCTCAATAAATTACTCTTCTAATATACAGATTATTTCATCGCCTGACACATGTCCCAGTTCAGAGAGCCCCACTGCAACAATGGACCAAACCAAACATAAATGCTGGAGCTAATTGATGATGTGATAATATTGAAATTATTTTGTGTGTTTACTTATGAAGACATTAAAAAGTTCTCTGCTATGAATGTTTGTGTGAGAGACTGGTCCCATCTGTTCCAGAGCCTGGTCCCATCTGTTCGAGAGACTGGTCCCATCTGTCCGAGAGACTGGTCCCATCTGTATGAGAGACTGGTCCCATCTGTTTCAGTTTAGTATTTCCTGGCGCTGTTGTCGAGTCATCAACAGATTCCTTTTATGCACTCCCTAGATGAATGCAATATCGACCCACCACATCGTAAGAGAATCCCAAAGTAGAATAACGTGCGGTTTTGGTCAGTAAAAATGTGACAGGATAAATTATGGTCCCGCTTCAAAGACGCTATTTTGTAAGAAACTTAGAGGAATGTAATGTAAACACACTATTTTTTTAAGACAGGGGAATGTGTATTGTAGACGGAGTATTTTGTAAGACACTTAGAGGAATGTAATGGAGACAAACTATTTTGTAAGCCACTTAGAGGAATGTAATGGAGACAAACTATTTTGTAAGCCACTTAGAGGAATGTAATGGAGACAAACTATTTTGTAAGACACTTAGAGGACTTTAATGTTTACAGACTTTTTTTAAGACGCTTAGAGGAAAGTAGCCTAGACAAACTTTTACTCCACACAAGAATAAGTGGACAGTCTTATATGTAAGGGTCAAAAGGGACAAAACACAGAACAAAGTAACACTTTAAATGGTTTATTTATGAGCTCCTTGTTCAAAATAGGAAAATTCATATTGACAATCAGATCAAGGATAACACAACTTGACCATCACATCAAGGACAGCTTGGGCAGCAATCACCCTCTTTAGTTTCTGGCCAGGCGCCATCTTCACACTGAGGCCAGCCACACTGGATGTCATAACAATTGACCTCCGGATTAATGTCGCAGTAGCACGGGTTGCATGTTCCCTTTTCGTATGTTTCGCCGTCCTGTAACAACACACAATGTTGGCTTTATTCAGATTGTCAGAGACATACGGATGATTTCAAGTAGATCTAACATTGTTATGAAAACATACTTTTTCTTAAAAACTTGTAAAAATTCAAGCTTAAGACAATGTTAATGCATCTATATGAGAGAACAGGATGTTAATGATATTTATTAAATTGAAATTTAAAAATAAAATTAAAATCGAAACGATTAGTTTAAGTTAAGAAAATTGAGATGTAGATTTAAAAACAATTTTTTTTGGTCGCATAAAAAGGTATATCAAAAAATAGAAAAAGTACTATTCAAGTACTATTTTTTGCTTTAAAATGGAACAAACAATTGGTAATGCATATATTTCTTTTATAATCATAGGTAAAAAAATCATATGATGCATTCATTCAATATTTCAATAATTATTCTATTTTAACACAAATTAAATAATTTCAATTTCTAGTACAATTAAAAGTCTTGAAATTACCTTATACGTGACGCCATTGTACACACAGTCCTCGGCGTACATGAGTCCGGCAAGTGAGAGCATGATACAGCTTACGAGGAATGCCTTCATTCTTAGAGATGTTTGCCTTGGAATAGAAACATAACATATGTAGCATTAAAACCAACACAGTTAACAGAAATACTTGGTTTAAAGAATGAATATTTATATTAAAAAATGTAATCAAGAAATTAGTCACCTGTAGATTAATTAACACATTCAAAATAAATGTACCTAAAAAAGGAAACGGGCTCGCCAAAGAAATCATGAAGGGCACAACCAGAGGAGGGAGAAGAAGAGCAAGACAGAGGGAAAAGATGGGAAGATAACATCAAAGAGCGGATGGGACTAAAACTAGGCGATGCTGTGTGATGTGCAGAAAAAAGAGACGAATGTAGGGGAATATTTTTCTCTGGCGCCCCAACGGTCCAAGGACTAAGGGACATGAAGATGATGATGTTGATGATGATGATGATGAGGATGAGGATGATGAATTAAATGTATACTTGTTTCGCTCAAATGCAAAATTAAGTGTAACAGATCAAATATTGCAATAATGAATTGTTTCGTAGTTTAGGATGAACATAAAGTTTTATATTGAAATGTCATGCGCGCAGAAAGGACATGAAGTAAGAAAAGAGAGTGTGTGGAAGGGGTACAATGCTAATGGTCAAGTTGGGTTATATGAATCTCTTGCGCTTGCGAAGAAATATCCCATAGCATCGGTCCAGCCATCGTCCATTGGATTGTGTTCGGAAAGAAGTGAAGTGTATGAGATACTGACAATTATTTTACTCCAACCTGGAGGCATATGGCATATTGTGAAATTGTGATTTTCTTGTCAATAAACATGTAGTGGTGCAATCCATTCGACATAAACATGTAGTGGTGCAATCCATTCGACATAAACATGTAGTGGTGCAATCCATTCGACATAAACATGTAGTGGTGCAATCCATTCGACATAAACATGTAGTGGTGCAATCCATTCGACATAAACATGTAGTGGTGCAATCCATTCGACATAAACATGTAGTGGTGCAATCCATTCGACATAAACATGTAGTGGTGCAATCCATTCGACATAAACATGTAGTGGTGCAATCCATTCGACTTTCCTCACACATTCAGTAGTTATCGTAATAATGATCAGAAAGCACTATGGCACCACTCCGACACTGGACATCTGCATACATCAGTGATAGCAAGAAATAGCTTTCAACCTACATGATCATAAGGACGTTAGAATAAGTTTCACAGTCCATGAGGTCTAACACCCGATTATGGCGTCAAATAAACTCTAAACACTTGGACATACATTTTTATACAGATAATATCTTTTCTATGCGAATGGATTTTTCTTTTACGATTTACAAACACTTTTTAAGAAAATGCTCGCCCTCGTGTTGAAATTCTTATGAAATTTAAAATATCATGACAAAAGCTAGATTTGTTTTGTTTTTAAAAAAAAATGAGATTTCCCTTTTAAACAGCTCATAAAACATCTTTATAAAAAAACAAAAAAAAAACAACAAAAAAAAAACAAAAAAAAAACAAAAAAAAACCAAATATCATAACAAAAGTTAAATTTTTTTTTTTTTTAAAAAAAAAAGAGATTTCCCTTTTAAACAACTCAAAAAACATCTTTAAAAAAAAAAAAAAAAAAAAACAACAAAAAAAAAACAAAAAAAAAACAAAAAAAAACCCTGTATTATTTATCAGAGGTTACAATTGGGTTATTTAGCAGAGCTTAGAAGTAGGTTATTTAGTACATCTTACAATTGGGTTATTTAGCAGAGCTTATAATTGGGTTATGTAGCAGAGCTTACAATTGGGTTACGTAGCAGAGCTTATAGTTGCGTTATTTAGCTGAGCTTACGAACAGGCTATTTAGCAGGGCTTACAGTTGGGTCACGCAGAAGAGCTTACAATTGGATTGTGTAGCAGAGCTTACAGTTGAGTTATTTAACAGAGTTTACACTTGGGTTATTTAGTGGAGCGTTTTGCTATTTAGCAAAGCTTACAATCAGTTGGGTTTCTATCTAGAGCGCGACCTACAGTAAATCTAGAATTAAATTTTCCAACAATGTTTTAATTGCAATACACCTAATGACTAAAAGCGAAACACCAGCTGGAACCTTTTTTGTTTTTCAGTGACAGTTATTCAGAGAAGAATAGTAATAGCGCTTAATGTTACACCCAGAAATAATGTATATATATATTATATTATATATCTCTATTTAAAATTTTATGCAAGTGACGAACAATAACCGTTTATATCATTCAAATTTGATCATTTAACGTGGCTTTAATTAACGATGTCACCAGGCCGCCCCCTCCCTCATGTGTAGCCTAAATACATTAAAGGGGAGATCATGTTTCATTTCAATTTATCACAGAGTCAAGAGTTGCCTGTACAAAGTCACTCAGAACCAGATCATGCACTACAGCTTGGTGTGTGATGAAGATACAAGTGTAAATCTTCGCTCTGTTACGATTAAGCAGGCAAATACTTACGAAATATAAACAGGATGCTTTGTAGCAAAATCCAAATAAAAAAATCAAATGTCAGAGCAACAAAATTAATGGCAGGAGGGCTATGGAGCAGCGGCTGTCATGACATTTCTCTGGGGTTTCTTTTCATTTATAGCAATCACCAGCCCCTATCATCATTATCTACAAATTAGGACCATACATAAATCTACAGTTAATGTTGACTAAAAACAAAACAATTACGAATGCTGGCGTGGCAGTTCCCACTCTGGGGGATGTGAAACAGATGGCTGGGTTAATCTGTTGGTAACAAATGCCAGATTTAGATTTTTTCGTGTGATCTCCTTTAGCAAAAAAAAAAAAAAAAAAACAAGACAAAAACAAAACAACATTTTCGTCCTAATTGAAAGAGCTCAAATTTGGCGTTGTCTGTTTTGTCTTTACATTGGAGTTTTCGTTGATGGGAGGTGGAGGTGTGGTGGGGGTGGTGGGGCAAAAGTATGGGGGACTGAAAACTGCTAATAACAACGTGTTAACAGCTNATACATAAATCTACAGTTAATGTTGACTAAAAACAAAACAATTACGAATGCTGGCGTGGCAGTTCCCACTCTGGGGGATGTGAAACAGATGGCTGGGTTAATCTGTTGGTAAAAAATGCCAAATTTAGATTTTTTCGTGTGATCTCCTTTAACAAAAAAAAAAAAAAAAAAAAACAAGACAAAAACAAAACAACATTTTCGTCCTAATTGAAAGAGCTCAAATTTGGCGTTGTCTGTTTTGTCTTTACATTGGAGTTTTCGTTGATGGGAGGTGGAGGTGTGGTGGGGGTGGTGGGGCAAAAGTATGGGGGACTGAAAACTGCTAATAACAACGTGTTAACAGCTCTTGTACAGCAAACACTTGCTATTACAAGGCGACAAACCCCCTCCCCTACATAAACAACATTCAGTCAAAACCGTTTTCAACATCGGTCAGCAGTTATCCATACAATGTGCGGTAATGTTGGATGCGCGGGGCGGGAGCAAGTCGCCTCCACATTTCATGCATGTTAAGAGATTATTTGTGTTTTTTAAAGTTAATTATTAATGGTATTAACAAAAATTGTTAGCTTAAAAAAAAGAAATTTCTTATGAAAGACAAGTTAAACATTAAAAAGGAGAAAATAAGTTTAAAAATTCTTAAAATGCATTACGAAAGAAAGACTGTTTTTAGGTCTTTAATGAGGACAGCAGTGTCTAAAAGGCATCATTTGTCACACAGAGAACACTATGAGGACAGAAATGTCTCAAAGGCAAGATGTGTAACACAGAGAACACTATGAGGACAGAAATGTCTCAAAGGCAAGATGTGTTACACAGAGAACACTATGAAGACAGCATTTGTTACACACTAAAAATTTTTTTTACTGATCAGATATTGACTCTGCTCGTTACTGTTAATGATGTCCTTCAATATATTTTTACCGTCCTATGTGATTTTCCCTGAAATGTTTCAAAATCAGATTTAAAGATCAAATAACGTGTAGTAAGTTATACAAAGTATTTTCTATATAATAGAAAAAAGCCATACACGAAGGCTAAGAATACACGTTTATACGTAAAATAATGTATCTAGGTGAAACTTGGTAAATATATATTTTACTATCCCTTTTAAAATATTTTGGGGATTGTAAGATAATGATAGTCTATTTTTCTATGTGGGTTGACCGGGGGACATCCTTCGTCAAGCGATAATTTTTTTTGGGGGGAGAAAATTTGTTAAAATAAAGTTTCTTCGTTATTCAACCTATTGAAGGATTCTCACTGTAAGCTAAATAATTTAAATTACACTGAATGGATTGATGTAGGCAAAACTTGGTACAAATGTACTTGAAAATCTGTATTGAAAAACGGGAGGGTTTTGAAACTAACATATATAGGAGGACAAAACACAGTCTTGTAATCCCTTTATCCGCCCAGTATCGTACACACCCATTCAAATGATGTTTGTGAGATTTGCCTTTATGTATCAAGAACGTGAAGAAGACTCCCAATTGCTCTCTCTCTCTATCGCTCACGTTCTCGCGCGCTCTCTCTCTCTCTCGTTCTCTTTCTCTCTCTCCCCCTCTTTCTCGCTCTCTCTGTCTTTCTCTCATTATCTCTCTCTCTCTCTCTCTCTCTCTCTCTCTCTCTCTCTCTTTCTTTCTCT